CTCGTCTGTCTGCGCAGTCTGCTGCACTTTCGCCAGCAGGCAATGTGGGCGGTCTTCAATGGTCGAACCGTTTTGGGTGCAACTCAGGTGCAGGGAGATGAAGAGGCGGTAAAGAGGCTGCCCGAGTGGATGACCACCTCGCTGGCCATCGTCTACCTGATTGTGCCACTGGGACTGGTCAGTTTCTGCACGCGATACCTCTTGCGCAACGTCATCAGCGTCTCCGTCTCCTTTGCAATCACAATGGAAATGGTCTGTTTCAGATTCATTGGTGATAAACCTGCTTTTCATCCCCTCTTTTTTTGCCTAGACCCGACTACTAATGAAATCGCACTCTTACTTTATGGAAACGGCGCAAAAAGAGTCGCCGCCGTTAAGCGTTGAAGAGCTGCAGCAGCCAACGATGAAGGACAATCTGAAGATCATTTGGTCGCGCTTTCCCTCTTTTCGGTCCTTTCTGTACTACCTCTTTGCACCGACGCTCATCTACCGAGACTCCTATCCACGGTAAACAACTAATCGCAAAAAATCATTTTCAATTATCATTTCTTTCACGCCACAGAACTGAACGCATTCGGTGGCGCTTTGTGCTGAAGAACCTCACCCACTTCCTCCTCGCCATCTTCGTCTCCCTGGCCGCCATCAACCGCCTGCTGGTGGACACCTTCCGCCGCACCGGCCTGGAGCCCTTTGAGCTGGCCCGCCTCAGCCGCAGCCTCGCCCAGGCTTTCACCCTGGGCACCGTCCTGGTGCTGGTCTGCTTCTACGGCCTTTTTCACGTCTGGCACAACATCACCGCCGAGGTGCTGCGTTTCGCCGACCGCTCTCGCTACTACGGACCCTGGTGGGAAAGTGCTTCGCTGAATGAGTACTACCGAAAATGGAATCTGCTGGTGCAGGACTGGCTGCACGCCTACATCTACCTCCCGGTTTACGGGTGGTCGGCCAATCGTCAAATTTCCGCCTATTCGGTGATCCTCGTCTCCGGCATCGTCCACGAGTACATCATCAGCTTTAGTGTGCGCTTCTTCTTCCCGCTCCTTTTTGTCATCTTCTCCGTCTGTGGGCGTAAGTGAAACGATTGGTGCTGTTGTGCGTGTTGATGATTTTGTTGACTCGGTGAGCTTTTTCCACCTCATTTCAGATATCTACTTTCTGGCGACGCGAAACATGAAGAGGAGTAACCTGCAGAACAGCATATTCATAATGAGCGTCCTCTTTGGCTGGGGCGCCATTTCGATGATTTACTCGGCGGAGTGGTACTCACGAGTGAATTGTCCTCAGGTAGGGTGAACTTTGGTTGAGGTTGATGATGAACTTTTAAGGATTTTTGTTTTGATTTGCAGAACTCCTCTACTCTAATCTCTGAACTAGTGCCACGGCTCATCTCTTGCGTTCAACTGATGTAGATTCTGGGAAAAGGGTAAAGAGAAAGAGTTTTTTATTTGTGATTAACTTTTGCTGTCGATACAAACTTGTACAACAAATAAAAAATGTTATTTCAACAAACATGTTTGGATGTTGCAATTAGAAAAAGACAAAAAATAAACTGAGTTTATTCATTTTTTAAATGAATAGCTGGCGCTATTAATTTTTGTTTACTGGAAAACGGTGTTTGATTTCTTGATTGTCCCTATTTACTCCTGGCGTTACTTTTGGATAATCAGGGCCATCAGTACCGATTGGCACCATTCTATACTCTTCATTTGGTATATCATGAACTTTTGGTTTGTTTACATTGTAACTTCTAGTGTACGTTGAAAAAATGTAAGCTCTTTTCCAGTAAACAACCATGCCAATTGCGGCAAAAATAACAAACAAAATGACAACTGAATTAGTTGCGTTCAGGACAACAAACTCAATCAACGAGTTCACTGTAAGTATGAAAAATGATAACGGTAAATAGATTGCAAATAAACAAACATATTTTAAGCACATACGGAAAGATTGAGACGGCTCAACAGGTAACTCTTCTTCTTTGCCCATCTCAATTGAGGCTTTTGTTAAAGAATCCGTAGCAGCAGAGGAAACAGTTGTGGCCAGTTTGATGAACTCGTTCGAGTCTTCAAGCATTCTCTGGTACTCCACCGTTTGTTTGCTTCCTTTAGAGTCAACGAGAATAATCTTTTTGAATTTATCCTTTCTTATAAAGCAGCCAGGTGATGTGAAGTGAATGCCCTTTGCAACTGAAGCCACTATTTCGTCGGTTATTTTCTGAATAATAAAAAACATGTCAGATAAACTAAACGAAAGTTAAAAAACCATTACCTTTATTGTAGGAGCACCTTCTGCTTGCATCACAGAATCTTTTGCTCGGCTGTCCCTAGCACCCATTGCGTGAAGCAGCTCGTGAAGCAAAGTGTTGATGCACGCATCTTCCGACTCCTCATCTCCCGCTTTACAGTTGTAAAAGCTGACAGCGATAATATTATGCGGATGCCGGCAGACTTTCCCCAAGCTAAAGCCATTGTAGCCAATTATTTTCTTTGCCGTGAAAAACACTGTAAGGGCATAGTTCCTAAGCACTTCTTTTGAAGGTATCAGTGCCGGCAGCAAGTTAACGAGCATTTCCTTTGTGTACTCTGGAGCATCGTTCAGAATAGCACCACCCTTATCAGCGACTTTGTTTGCGAAAACCTCGTGACTGAGAGCGATTTCGCGCAGAAAGTAGCCGCGATCAGGAAAGTAGTGCATTTTGCCATTTTCAGTGTCATTGTGAATGAAGTGTGTGTTTAAAATTACTCCATTTGCAGTGTCAAAGTACTTGAAAATGTAGTAAAAAGCCGCCTTGTCGTCGCCGCTAAAGTAATCTTTGATTAAACTCGAATCAGTGAGGACATATGCAGCTGGAA